GAGCAAGACGTGCTGCTGCAGTAACGTGCTGCTGACGGCTGCCGTGGAAACCCGGGGTCAAGGGGAAGTTCTACCACATTTAGAATCTGACAACCTTACCTTATTTCTTTGAAACAATTTCCTTGTTCCTATTTACGCAGTAGTGATGTGTCATACTATTGACTGTTCGACTGAACAGAAAACTAGAACAATTAAATGTGGTTTATTGAACATTAGATCTTTTTTTCCCAAGACTTTGTTAGTTAACGATAATCAGATCTCTTTGCGCTCTCTCATAGAATCCTGGCTGCAGCTAGATGACTGTTAGTTTTTTACATTCACTATTTTCAAAACATTGAACAAGTTTCCTAAACTCTTAATGCCACGTCACACCTAAAACACACAATTGGCAATGGTTAATTAATTTCAATGGCCAAAACGTAGATATTTTTCTACGTTTTGGCCTGTCATCCACACGAAAACGGATCTTTTTAAAAACTCCGGCCAAAGTGAAGATCTGCGTTTTCTCCGTTTTGGGTGTCTGCGTGTGGACAGACAAAACCGGAGTTTTAAGGTCCGCAACGTCACTTTCCGCGACAAAAAAATGCTGACATCACGTGCGCGACCTGTGTTTACACTAGCCGACAGCATGGATGCCCTCAGAGCTGCACTCGCTTTATCAGTTGTCCAAGCGCTTTTTGCTTGTTTGTTTTTGCAAGCGGAATTACTGCTCCTTGCGGAAGACCACAGACGAAGGACGAGGTTAAGAACGGGGGGAGTACTGTCGCCTACAGGTCTGGCATGTCCTTAACAACGTATTTATCCGGGTACGTGTGGACAGAGTTTCTTTTTTAAACGAGGTGGTGTGGATGCAAGTTTTTGGAGGGGCGGATATTCGTTTAAAAAAAAACCCGGCTACGTGTGGACTAGGCCTAAACCCCAAAACTAATTTCCAAAACACAACACTTTGAACTACCGTAGTACACTGTCTGGCAAAACACTGCAAAAATGTTACAAAATCAAATAATTATACATAACAGTAGCACACGTTCCCTTCCAACAGGAACATTTAGTCAATCATAACACCTTGACAACAAAATACTATCATCAGCTGAAACATTATTTCATGGGTCAGGTCTGCCCTTATATTTGAAGCCTTTCTACATTTTTGTTTTGAGTTTGCTGTAGTACGTAAATCCATGTATTTTGTTACTTCCGCTGCAGAAATTCAGTACAAAAAAGTGAATGACCATCTCAGAGTAGCTTTATGTGATGCACAAACATAGAACTGCTGCAGTACTGACAATATTTGCAAAAGATTACAGTATTACTGCAAGATATACAAACAGAAATAGCACCGGAATTACAATTGATAAAAATAAAGTACGTAATGTGTCTCATTGGCAATGGAATACTGTGAAATACAGGGAATATATTTGGGTTTCAATTCACAACACAATATGAACAGCTGTTTACTTTGACTTCAGTCTATATAAGTTATGTTTAGAACACGATACCTGTTCTGACATGCAGTGTGAGGGCATTTGTAAATTTGACTGTAAAATTACATAGGTTTGATCTTGGTTGAGCTTGTGTGTAAAAGAGGTTAAAGCCTTTTAAATTGGTGTTAACTGTATGCATTTTGTATCAAAGCAACAAGAAATTTGTTAATTATATAGTTTACCACAACAGATGTTGTGCTAACTGTGTTAGGAGTTTAAGGAACTTGTTAAATGTTTTGGAACGACTGTCATAACCATTTGTAAAAAAAACTGTAAATGAGTCTACTCCCTCTAATTATTTAAATCATTATATTGCTCAAAGTAAAGGGCGAGGAGGAGTGGCAACCATTTTTCATTCAGATCTATTTATCAATCCCTTACCAATTAGTAGTCACAGTTCTTTTGAAGATCTAATTCTTAGTTTTCCTAATCCAGATTGCAAAACTCTAAAACCACTCGTTTGTAGTTTTGTATCGTCCACCAGGCCCTTACTCTGAGTTTTTGTTTCAGATCTCTGATTTCTATCTGATTTGGTGCTAAATACTGATAAGGCCATTGTAGTGGGGGATTTTAACATTCATGTGGACATTGGACATGACGAAGGTCACCAACTCTGCGTCAACCAAGGTAAGTCCTTAAACACTCAAGCAAACTCTGATTGACATCTGTACATAAGCAATAGACTAACATTACTGGTTAGTGCTGACCGACACTCACGTCATATTGCACGGAGCTCTACGGGACAAGATATATGTCCTACATTATAAGACAGTACATGATAAGATGATCACTTTTATGGATTTCTGAAAAATCATGCATAATTCCTGAAAGAGGAAGACTCCGGAAAGCAGCTTTAATGTACACATGCCACTTTCCTTCACTTTCACCAGTCATAGCGATTCTTCTCTCTCTCCTCTGTCCCCTGTATAGAGAAGGCTGATCACTGACACAGCAACACTCTCCCAGGTGCACAGCCACATTGTTCTTAAACCGAACCAGTCGTCGTCGTTTAAAATAAATATTGCTACTGCAATGATCTATTTCAGATCTTATTTACACCAGATCAGTATGTGTTTGATTTAACAAGTTACACATTACAATAAGATACTTATTAATGTTAACCCTTTAAGCGCCAAAGTCGCAGAATTGCGACAAGCAGCAATGATGGATTTAATAAGCCACAGCAGCAGAAATGAGCCCTCATGCACTTAATACGTCACACTGCGGGGTGGCAGACACCTGTAACTTCAATCCAAGCACATTTGTGGGTGTGTTACTATTCAAATTTTTGGAGTATTTAGAGCTTGAACCCCGGACACCAGTCACAGAGTCGCGGAGGCTGTCAGAGCGAGTGAGAGCGAGTGAGCGGTAGAGGAAAAAATCAATGCAGAGAGGAATGTTCAGTGCAGACAAAGCTCTTCGTCTAGTACTGGCAGATTCAGATTCGGAGGAAGAATATTTCCTTTTTTCGAGGACGATATGCGGTCTTCTAGCGAGATGGAAAGCGTGGCTTCAGCGCGCAGCAACAGGGAGTCTGTCAGCGATGACGCGGTTACACAAGCAGCCCATCCAGCCCTTACCTTGTCCGATGTTCCGCGTCACCGTGTCCGTGGTCGGGGAAAGAGAAGTGGTGGGTGGGTGGGGGGTGGGGGGGGGGGCTCGACATATTATTATTATTATTATTATTAACTAAATAAAAATAAAACAAAGAAGGGATGAGAGAAATGTGTTCATGATGCTGAAGCACCAAAGACAGTGTTCTTGAATGATACGCAGTAAACATAACAAAATACCAATAAAGTAATATATATATATATATATATATATATATATATATATATATATATATATATACATATACATAGTTATATATGTCTACATAGGAATATGTATATATGTATCATAAACAATAACAACACTAAGAAAATAAGACAAAAACATAAAAAACAACAAAAATCTAAAAATGTGATGCAATGCAATATGGCTGCCACCTGGTGACGTTACAATATGCAAATTATGTGAGTGAATTTGTTCCTATCACAAAATTTGGCTCATAATGAAGATTTTTCTAATTTACAATATTCGTCTGTCTCTAACCAGATTTAAGCTACAAGCTCTTTAAATAGTGATATAAAAATTCATATTTTACTGAAAAAAACATGGCGCCTAAAGGGTTAATATTCACTTCACGTAAGTGTTTTAAAACATTCTCATTCACAAAGTGTTAAACACCTTTGTATATGAAGAACGCGTGGCTCCTGATGAATGTTTGGTAAAGCCCTCAAACGTGCCAAATTCTGATTTGCCAAACTTGCCAAAATTTATAATCAATAAGTTCAGTAAAACAAGAATTACTTACCGATTACTGCAGTTTCTAGCTTACTCCCGATTTGGCCAAATCGGGGAAGAAGCCCTTTTGAAACCATCTCCTTTGACCTCCAGTCAAAGCCTCTCTCCTCGAGTGATTTACGGTTAAAACGGCTCTTTTCAGAGCTACTTCACATCTCAGACATCTAACCTGCAATTGCATCTCATGGCTGGTGAAGCTGAACTAAGAGGAAGCTACTAATCTCTGAGTGTTGTGGTTTCGACTCCCGGTGATCTCACCACTCGGACCGCCGGGAGCAACTCATACCAAGGGTATCGTAAGCCTGCACACTGGCGTCGGAGGAGGTTAAGAAACAATACTAGTTTATAAACAAACAACAAATTGTTTTACAACCCAGACTTCACAAATTCTCTCAAATACAAAGAACGGTTTTGCTAAAACATCTAGCGTCCATTACGTTTCACACATCACATTACATCACCTCATACCCACTACATTACATATCACTATTCACATGTTGTCATGCATTAGTTTAGGAAAAATAAATAAATAAATTTTATAAACTATATACGTGACTCTGTCTGAATTAATACGAAGTGTGTTTATGGTCCCTGAATAAGCAAAGAACCCTGGAATCTTCTGAGTAAACATTCAAAGATCAATTAGATTGATATTTCATATTTATATGGAATTATCACATCTTATTTGTCATTATTTATATGTAGTCCACCATCACTCTACACAACTAATGAAAGTCTGTCATAAAGTCAGTTTTATTTCCTAAATTTACTTCTGAAGAACCAAAGTTAGAGACCCTTGAGAGATTTTATGATCAGTTCGTGATTGGTCAAAATAAAATTCAAAAGAGTTCTCAAAATATTTCCCATTGCACTTTAGTTTTGAGTAGTTTTCAGTCGGATCCATGAGTGTAGTTAAGTTGAACCACTGATGTGATTTTAGCTTTACATCTCATTACAACTTCTGAAGATTATAACATTTGGAAATAGTTTATCACATTTGTTCTGAGATTCCTCTGAACAGAAAAGGATTTGTACATCAAGAGTTTGAAAACAATGAAAGTTAAGCCCAAGTTATCTCATAAAACCAGGTCGCCTGCTGCTTTGTGACAACTACCGCCAGGTAAAAGGGTCTGACTTCAGACACAGTACCTCTTCTTCTGACCCCCTTACCTGTTTATTCATGAAGACATAGATCACTGGGTTGATGACTGTGCTCGTCTTGGCCAGAACCGAGGGAATGATGCTTGCCTCAGGTGTGACCAGGCCAGCAGGGCCAAAGGTAGCCAACAGAGCCATGATCCCATATGGAAGCCAGCATAACAGGTAGCAGATCACCATGATTACCACCATAAATAACACTCGCTGCTCACGCTTTTTATTCAGCGATAGGTTGATCCCGCTCACCTGGAGGAAAGGGAGAAAGAGAGGGGTTGTTTTCTCACATCCTTGAACTATTAGAACAGAATTATTTTTTAAATTAAACGTCTGAGAGACAAAAGAGCAAATCAGAAAGAATAGAGGTCTGCAACGAAGGAAGGAAAGGCAATCACCTAACTATCTCTAGAAGAACTTGAATGATGAATGATTGTAAGGAAAAAAGATGCAAAACCTGAATATGACAGAAAGGGAATGATTGTCTTTCACGTTTTCATCAGTTTCATGAAGAGCAGTCACATGTTTGCATGTCATTGTCCTGTGATCACCAAAGCACAATTCCCTTCATAATGGAAACCAAATATAAGTTTTCTATTTTTGTTAAAGAGCTTTTGCCATCTAGATATCTTCAGGCCTAGTGGACTCAGACAACGTGACTGATTAGACAGAGCCCATCATCCAACATGAAACAACTGATGACAAATCTGATATTAATTCCAACAGATGTTTTGCAACTAAACACGAAATGCCCAAATTTAATTAGTTTCATTATTTTAAGTTTAGGGACTTTTCATCCATCCATCCATTTTTGGCCACTTATCTGGGGGTGGGTCACAGGGGCAGTAGCATAAGCAGGGCGGCCCAGACTTCCCTCTCCCCAGCCACTTGGGCCAGCTCCTCCTAAAGATGAGAAGCATAGTCCATCCAGAATTTTCTGGGTCTTCCTTTGGGTCTTCTCTCGGTTGGATGTGCCTGGAAAACCTCACCAGGGAGGCATCCAGGAAATATCCTGACCCAAGCCACCTCAACTGGCTCCCCTCGATGTTGGGTAGAAGCGGGTCTATTCCGAGCCTTTCCCAGATGACCGAGTTTCTCACCCTATCTCTAAGGGAGAGCCCAGCCACTCTGCAGAGAAAACTCATTTTAGCCATTTGTATCTGCAATCTAATTTTTTCGGTCACTACCCAAAACTCGTGACTATAGGCGAGGGTAGGAACCTAAATCAAGAGCTTCACCTTCTGGCTCAGCTCTCTCTTCACCATGTCTGTTTGGTTCAACGTCCACATCACTGCAGACGCAGCACCAATCCGCCTTTCGATCATGCAATCCATCTGTCCCTCACTTTTTAACAAGACCCCGAGATACTTCAACTCCTCCACTTGAAGCAGGACCTCATCCATGACCCGGATAAGGCATTCTACCCATTTCTGACTCTAGACCATGGTCTCGGATTTAGAGGAGTTGATTCTCATCTCAGCTGCTTCACACTCAGCTGTGAACCGCTCCCGTGAGAGCCGGAGATCTCATTCTGATGACAGGACAACATCATCTGCAAAAATCATAGACTAGATTCTTAGGCTACCAAAACGGATCCACTCAACACGTTGGCTGTACCTAGAAATCTTGTCCATAAAAGTTATGAAACAGTGACAAAGGGCAGCCTTGGTGGAGTTCAACTCTCACTGGAAATGAGCCTGACTTACTGCCAGCAATGTAGGGAAAGCTCTTACAGCGGTCACATAGGGACCAAACAGCTCTTGTCAGGTGACCTGGTACCACATACTGCCAAAGTACCCCCAAAATGCTCCCCCAAGGGACGCAGTTGAGCGCCTTCTCCAAATCCACAAAACACATGTAGATTGCCTGGGCAAATTCCCACGCACCCTCCAGAACCCCCTCTAAGGATATTGACCTTGTCCAGTGTCTCACGGCCTTTACAAAAAGCACATTGCTCCTCCTGAATCTGAGGTTTGACAATCTACGGCATTCCTCTCCAGAACCCTTGAAAAATTTTTACCAGGGAGGCTCAGGAGAGTGACCCCGCCTGTAGTTGGAACAAATCCTGTGGTTCCCCTTTTTAAATACGGGGACCACCCCTCCAGTCTACCAATCCAGTGGAACTGCCCCCGATGTCCATGCAATATTGCAGAGCTGCGTCAGCCAACACAACCCAACAACATCCAAGGAACTCTGGGCTCTTATCCACCCCTAGAGCCTTGCCACCAAGGAGCTTTTTGACCACCTCAGTGACCTCAGCACCAGAGATTGGAGGGCCTATCCCAAAGTTCCTGGAGTCTGCACTTTTCAGACTATTGTATATCACATTTCAGATAACCTTTGAGCAAAGTAACAAAAGTTATTGCTGTTTATTTTATTCAATTCACCGGATTACCTGTCGGATCTTGTCACTAGATATGTGCCAAACCGGGCGTTGAGGTCTGCTGATTGCCTGCTGCTTCGTGTTCCATTAATGAAATACAAAACGCGGGGGCAGCGTGCTTTTGTCTATGCTGCTCCGACACTATGGAATGCACTTCCTCTTTCAGTGAGGCTGGCACCATCTCTCCTCCGGTTCAAATCGCTGCTGAAGGCTCACTTTTACGACCAGGCATTTTTAAATCCCTGACTTTTATTATTTTATTATGTGTTTTTTTATTGACTGTAATTATCTGCCTTGTTGTGCATTTTATTGTTGACCGTGTATTGTTTTATATTGTGTTTTTACTTTTTAATTCTGTACAGCACTTTGGTCGGCTGCCATGCCGTTTTTAAATGTGCTTTATAAATAAAGATGGTATGGTAATTCTAATCAATAAAGACAGGTGACAGAAGAACAATCTGTCTTGTTCTGAGCATGAGCACTGCTAGCTGACAAGCCTTTGATGACGGGGGTGACTGAGTCACGGTGAGAGCCTTTACAGGAGGATTTAGGTAGATTCTTATCAGGACGTTGTAGGCTAACATCAGTGATTTGAATTTGAACCAACGAACAGAGAGGTGACATGTTCTCTTTTCGACCTTCTTGTTTCCAAAAATGAGTCCACAAATACATTTTAAATAGAAAAGATAACGTAAGTCAATGCAGCTTAAAAATAACTTCTTACAATTAGTTTGTTGGTTTGAATTATTTGAGTGTGACATAAAGCTCTGTTGCATTATGGGACTTGAAACTTTGTTCAAATATAATACCACCCATAATGTTCAGAAAAAAACATACAAACATCCATAAAACAATAACTTCCACCTTCATTCCCCACAAACTTGAGTTGTCCAGATTTTTGTCTCTGATGGCCACATCTGTCGTTTATTTAATATTTGTCCCATTGGTACCTCCTTAGCATGACTTGAACAGATAATGGTTACTGTCCCCTTTTTTGTGCCTGTGTCAATGTGGTTTTAAGCATACTGAGCCAGCTGACAACACAACATCAGCAACAAGTGGAAAACTACACATGCCAAAAGTGAAGCCAACATGAAAATGACAAAGAATGCAGTCTTCCCTCATCCACTAGTGGTGGCATCCAAAAAGGAGCAATCATCTCCCGGATATTTCTACAAATCATGTCAAACTGGAGGCTAAACTCCTCATTGCTGAGCAGCACTGTGTACAGCTTATAGGGAGCCTAAGTCACACCCATCTACTTCCGGACCATGGGTCCCCTAATGGGAGTCAATGAGCCGATAAGGTAATTCCTGATCCCGTTTGATTTGTGTTATATTGATACGTCAATGAATTTTAAAACCACATTTTGATGCCAAGTCCTGAAATGCTGCATTTGTTTGGAGACATAACAGCTGAGAAGACCAGGCCATCATACATCCTGGTCATTCTCCCCCTCCCACAAATCACCCTGAACTTCTGACAATGGAAACATACCTATGGTGAAGAGGGGATGACCTGCTGAACGAGGAATTTTGTGCCTGGAAAGTTAGCAACGTCTCGCCGGCTGAGAAGCTGGAAAGTGTTGATGAAAGAGGAAGGCATTGTCCGGTGAAGGGACTGCAATGCTGGTTTTTGTTGTGGAAGTTAGCATTTGGCCAAGTGACTGTCCTAGGGATTGTGGTGAGGTTGTTTGCTGACGAATAAGAAAGCACGTGTCCCAGTTGCTTCAACACTGTTTTTCCCACATCCACAAGGACATTAGCAGTTTAGCTCAGTGTTTACTGCATTCCAGCCTAGCGTTAGCAGCAGCTAGTCCTACTGTTATTCTGCAGTTAGCAGACCAAGGTATGCATATTCAAGTAATTGAAGCGGGTAGGAACATGCAGATGTAAGCAGGACGGGTTTGCTTATTACATGTTAACAGAAGCTTTACTAGAAAATCACTCATTTTAATAGAAAGCAGGATAGACATGGCTCTGGCCTTTTGGTAAGCCATATTTGACCATCCAAACTGTCTTAATTCAACAACAAGCTAAATGTTGCTTCACATTCTACTGCCCCTTAATGCCATTTCTACGTCTGACTCTGCAAACCTAAAAATAGCCTGTATTTTAACATTATAAGAACAATGCCAACCAGGCTTTCTCTGTTTTTATTACTAGAGACCAATATATTAGATAGAAAAGTAAAGGGCTTTAGCCACTTCTCTCTTAATTTCTCTTTTTGCTGCTTGCAACTTTGTTTTACCTTTTTGGGCTATATGTCCACGGTTAGAAATAATTTGTCTTTTATGTGCTACTCTCCATTCAGCCAAACATTTGCTGAGTTTATCCTTGCAAAAATGAAAAGGTCACTTCTCATTCTGGTTCATGCAAGATTCCATTTTACCTTCTTTAGACTATATTCCCACCATGTAGACTCTTTTTTTTTTCAATTTGCCAGCACAAGAGAGTAGGTAGTAATAGCTTTTGTCCATGTTCTGAATAGATAAATAAAGTGACAGAGTTCATAGTCAAACTGAGGAAATGGAGTGTAAGAGTAGGAATAACATAAATAACCAATGGCTGGTGGACAAAACTGGCTAAGGGATGGACTGCCCCCTCAAGAGACTGTTTCATATGCTAATCAGCAATCCCCAAAGCCAAGTAATTAATATTAATGCATTCTGTCCATCAGATGGCAAAAAATCACCAAAGCCTTTTCAAAGTTTAAAAAAAATGATGAGCAGCCGAATAACAGATGGCCGTTGGCAATGGACCACAGGAAGTGAACAGACAGTAAACTGATAAAAGTCCTTTATTTTAGCTCAGCATCAAGTCCGTTTGATTAAAAACAACAAATGATGAGAGACTTCCAATGTGACCCT